CTACATTATGATCGCATATTCACAAAATTATAGAATTATGACTTAAGAGCTGAATGGTACCTTAGAGATTATTCCCCAAATGTCATTGTACAGTTTGTCAATCAAAAGCCCAGAAATATTAAGTGTACTGTTCAAAATGGCAAATGCTTGCTAAATTTTAATTTATACATATATTTTTATGAAGGATGTAAACATTTCCATTTTTATCATCTTTTAGAAAGATGCATCATTCTATTAAAAATAAATTTGGAATATTATTTTTAGAGTATATTTGAAATTGATGTTTCTGAAAAGAAATGGCTTTAAAGTTGAATTTTAGAAATATATTATTTTCCCACTTAGAACCATAACAAGATTAGAAACACAATGAGAAACACCTTTCCTATTCTCTTTATAGGACATTTTAGTTTTCTGATAGTCATAACAGTATGCCAAAGTAAATCATAACAGTGAACTAGGCCTCTTGTGTACTTAATCCATATATTCAGAACTACATTTAGGACCAGACTTTTTTGTGTGTGCTACCAGATTCTGTATGTAGTTTTTACTAAAAAAAGGAAGTTGTTTTGTACCAACAGCTCTATTTCTCACTTAAATCTTATGTCATCTATCACTTCTCTGTGTATTTCAATGTTACTTCTAAGTCAGGAACCATAGCAAGAGAGTGAAGTCTTGGCATCAATGATAAAAGTGGATTAGCTTGTAGATGACCACTTTCTCCATGTGTCTTTTCACATCACCTTACTTCTATGCCTGTCTCTGTTCAAATTTTCCTTTCATGAGGACACCAGTAGCAATGGATTAGGGACCCATCCAGCTGCAGTATGACCTTATCTTAACTAATAACATCTGCAATGACCCTATTCTCAAATAAGGTTAATTACGACTGTGCTATAAATTCTGCACACAGAAATGCAAACAGACAAAATAAATCATACATTATTCAAATAGTAACAAACAGATCATGCATTACACCTTTCATATTTATTTTAAAATTCAGTGGCATTAAATACTTGCATAATGCTGTGGAACATTATCCATTTCCAAGGAAAATATGCTTTAAAAAACCTAAATAAGTCTAGATAAATAGCTGCTGGTTCTGAGGTTCTATTGAGTATGATTAGCAAACACACAAACCACAGGAGCACACACTCTAACAAACACCAGCGACCTCACTGGGAAAACAAGACAATTTAAAACCGTCAATGCAACATATGGGCCAACAGGAAAAAACAGCCTTCAAAACTAAATACAACACAGAAATAGTATACTGTAAGTGAAAGTCCTCCTGATCTAGGAAAAGCAGTTTGTGATGCCAGTAAGCAGCAAGTTAAGGTACTTTTGGTGCGCTCTCTCTGGCCACTAAAACGAAGTTAACCTGGGCTTGGAGGAGTCCGTAAAAGCTGCTGCATGCAGTCTAATGAATTTATGCAATAGGGGGTGGGGAGCACCCATATTGCTTTTATAATAGTCTCAAATTAATCTTTGATAATGAAAACTTAAAAAAAAAAAAACTATTACATTAGAGAGACAAGACAGAATAACAAGGTGACAGCTAGGCCAGCAAAAGTGGGGAGGTCGCCAGGGCTCCGACCTCTCCGGCGCGGCGCTTGGGTGGAGGGAGGCCCAGCCAGGCGGTCGCAGCCCGGAATCTCGACCAGGATAGAAGGGGTGGGGCCATTGCAGAGGCCACTCGCCTCCGCCCCTTCGGGACCCTGAATGCGCCCTTGTTTACCTCACGGTATTTGACACCCGAGACAAAGGGGGAAGGGAGGAGGGACCTCCTGAGGGAAACTACCCAGGCGGAAAGCGCCTTACTTTAAGATTGGTTTGTAACATCCCTCGAGAGGCGGGAAGAGCTCCCCTCCCACACCCCGCGCACCCTTTCCCAGGTTCCCTGCAACCTGTCTTCCTTGGATTCCACCCCAACTTCAGCGACAACAGGCGGAGCGGTGCAATCGGTCTGCGGGGCACGCTCCTCAGTCTCTCCCCATTTATTATTCTTTAGATGGGGCAGAGGAGAAACAGGACCTGAACAGTGGTCGGAGCAGGGGTAGGGCAGGCTGCTTCTGATATCTCCGCGCCAGCAAATCCTGTCTCCGCCGCCAACCCCTAGAAAACGACCCTGAGTCTCGCGACTTGGTATTTTTAAATCTGGCGGGGCTTTTCCTTTCGGGCCAACCACTCCCCCCGTTTACTGTCCTAGCCATTCAGCGTTAGGCCCGCCATTTTTCAAACCCTCTTCCTGCCGCCAATCAGGATCGAGCAGTACATTCCTCTCCTGACCGGTTCTAACGGGTCTGGGAGTTAACGACCTGGGCGACCCACCGAACCTGCTAGGCTGTGGGTGGGGGGACGGGCCAGGAGAGACACCGGCCAATCGGAAGCCCCTACAGGGAGGGGGCGGGGCCTCCCGGCGTTTGAATAATCACCACAACCAATCAGAGAGGTGGGGGTGTGGCCTGTGGGTCGGCTCGTCAAGTTGCCGTGGCGCGGAGAACTCTGCAAAACAAGAGGCGGAGGATTGCGTTAGCGATAAACCAGTTCACTCCGGCGCCCTGCGGAGGAAGCTTCTCTGTCGGTCCGGCAGCTCCGCGGGACTCTGAGGAAAAGCTACCACCAGGCAAGAATCCCCTTCGCCCCCTCGGGGTCGTGGGCCTGCCGTTTCCCCTTCCCTCATAGCCACCTAGCCGAACTGAGCGCTGTGGTTCTCGGGGTCCGCCCCGGCAAGCAGAATCGGGTGCGGGCCGGACAGGGCCGGGGGCTGTGGAGGGCGGGCGTGGGGAAGCTCGCCCCAGCCCGGTTCTGGTAGTTTTTTGAATGTCGGTCGCGAGGCGACAACTCTAGGGCTCGCGACGTAGAAGCCGGGGGAGGTTTCTGTCAGGAAAGGGGTTCCCGAGGGCGCTCGCGGCGTTCCCTTCCTCCACCCGGAGTGGGGGGCGGGCGGCGGCGCCGGCCTCCGGGAGGGACGTGGTGATCGCGCGTGAGGAGACTCGGCTAGGACTGCGCGGGTTGGGCCCTAGAGGAACGTGTGCGCGGAGGCGGAGGCGGCGTCGCCGTGGCCCCGGGGCGGGCGGGCCGGGGGGAGCCGGGCTCTGGGCCGCCCTCGCGACGGGGTGGGGGTGGGGGGGCAGGCGGGCGGGCGCGCATTTGGGCGGGAAGCCGAGTCCCGCCGGCGCCCACCCACCGGCTTTCGCCTCACCAGGTGGACGCCGTCTGTCACCATGGGTAAAGGAGACCCCAACAAGCCCAGGGGCAAAATGTCCTCGTATGCCTTCTTCGTGCAAACCTGCCGGGAAGAGCACAAGAAGAAACACCCAGACTCTTCCGTCAATTTTGCCGAATTCTCCAAGAAATGTTCGGAGAGATGGAAGGTGAGACAGGAATGCAGAGTTAAGGGTTTTCAGGTGTGTTTTGGGGCCAGGACAGGTGACTAGCAGGCAGGTTACTTGTAACTTTCAAATCCTACCCTGATGACTTGCTCAAATAAATATTTTAGAGTTTTAGGCAGACTACTTTAGGTTTTTGTTTTTAAGACTACTAAAACAATGCTACTAGCTAAGGAAAATGCGGCCCTTAAAGATTATCTACATCTTGGATGTATGTAGCTTACAGGTTTGCTGTATTTTTACTGCTCCTTTCATGCCCACAGACCATGTCTGCAAAGGAAAAGTCAAAGTTCGAAGACATGGCAAAAAGTGACAAAGCTCGCTATGACAGGGAGATGAAAAATTATGTTCCTCCCAAAGGTGATAAGAAAGGAAAGAAAAAAGATCCCAATGCTCCTAAAAGGCCTCCGTAAGTTTTTTCTTTTAAATCACTCAAGTCGCCCCTTGATTTTTCATTCAGTTTATTAACTCTGTTGCTTCCTTTCAGATCTGCCTTCTTCCTGTTTTGCTCTGAACATCGCCCAAAGATCAAAAGCGAACACCCTGGCTTATCCATTGGGGATACTGCAAAAAAGTTGGGTGAAATGTGGTCTGAACAATCAGCCAAAGATAAGCAACCATATGAACAGAAGGCAGCTAAGCTAAAGGAGAAATATGAAAAGGTACATTGTCTTATGTTTTAAAGCCATGGTTGAAATTAAGTAGATATTGTCTAATTATGTTAGGAGTTAGATATAAACTATAGAAAGTTGAGAAGTTTAGATAATCTTGTATTAATGGTTGTCACCTGTAATTTGAAAAAGGCCTAATGAAAATTAAATACTTAAGCAACACCAGCTAATTGAAACCTTTTGACTGAAACCAGTATTTGTAGCATTGGTAGGTTCTTGCATGTAGATTTCTTTGTGGTTTTATAGGTCTCTTAGTTTGGAAAAATGGAGGGCCAGATGTATTTTTAGGTATATCTAAAATGTGAACTTAAGATGTGGGTGCCAAGTGAGGTAAATGGATGTTGGTAGTGAAAGTACTGACATTGATCTGATACCACCCCATCTGCTAGCTTTCTAAAGTCTAATGAGGGAACAAATGCTTTCAAAACTGAGTTCAACTCTGAATCAAACTTTAGACAGTCACCAGGGTTATTGGTCAATAATCTTAGATTGTTTACAACTTAGTGGTTTTCACAGTTGAGAAATGACACCGGATATTGATTTTATATTCTTGACAACATTTCAGGATATTGCTGCATACCGTGCCAAGGGCAAAAGTGAAGCGGGAAAGAAGGGCCCTGGCAGGCCAACAGGCTCGAAGAAGAAGAATGAACCAGAAGATGAGGAGGAAGAGGAAGAAGAGGAAGATGATGATGAGGAGGAAGAGGATGAAGATGAAGAATAAATGGCTATCCTGTAATGTGTGTGGAGTGTGCGTGTGTGCTCAGGCAATTGTTTTGCTAAGAATGTGAATTCAAGTGCAGCTCAATATTAGCTTCAGTATAAAAACTGTACAGATTTTTGTATAGCTGATAAGATTCTTTGTAGAGAAAATACTTTTTTAAAAATGCAGGTTGTAGCTTTTTGAGGGGCTACTACATACAGTTAGATTTTAAGGCTTCTGATGTTAAATGTTTCTAAATATTTAATGGTTTAATTTCTTGTGTATGGTAGCACAGCAAACTCATAGGAATTAGTATCAATAGTAAATTTTGGGTTTTTTAGAATGTTGCATTTTGTTTTTTAAAAAATTTTGTAATAAAATTATGTATATTATTTCTATTGTCTTTGTCTTAATATGCTAAATTGGATGTTAAAAAACACTGGGTCTGGGACCATGTCAACATTTTTGTATTTCTGCCTAATTTTTTTTAGACAACTGATTTAGTAAAATCTTTGGTTAAGAGAAAGTCATATCTGCCCATATTCATATTTACAAAATGTTATAAAAAATTAGATCTGGAATTTAATGAACTTTAAAAGTTTTTTACAAATGAATGTTTTATTCTTGATATTTCTGTTAGCAAAATGTCCCTCAGGTTTTTTTAACTGACACTATGGAGGGAAACTAATATGAGGGCAGAGAAACTAGTACAGTGAATCTATATCTAAAAAAACTTGTAAAAGCATTGGTAACAAGCTTTAAATTTTCTGTTGATAATGAACTAGTTCAGGGTAGAATACCAGAGTAAATTTTGAGTGAGTTAAATCTTTTAAAAATTAGTGTGGTCTTAACCTTTAGAATTTGGGGTAACCTAAGAAAGCATTTGAGGTAATTATTGGGATCTCCCATGACTAGTTTAGGATTTATATTTCGGGGGAAGCAGTTATTTGAGAAATGCTCATTTGAGGAAGCAGCTTAAATTTGAATTTAGATAACTTGCATAGTTAGGCTATTAGGAAGTTTACCATCTGTTCGCTAAATAATCATAGAAGGAAACTTTCGTTGATAGTTTTATAGTTAAACCTGACAGTTTCGGTTACCTATGAAGTTTTAAAGTAGAAGCCAAAATTCTTATTACCCAACCATGGGAGCCTTCGTTGTCTCTTATTCGAAATATTTGGTAAGGATTATTTCATTTCTTAAATAAGAAATACAAAGTTTTGTTAATTGGAAGTCAGGTATTAGCATAATTATCAGAGTGAATGGACTCAGGTGAAATCTTCAAACTTCTTTATGATTGTTCTCTATTAATCATCCCAGTGGTTGCAGATTTAAATGTGGAGCTTTCGTTGATCATAAGATTAAAACATTTTAATATTTTCTGGTGTTAGGTGACTTAAACACTAAAAAATTGGGAGTAATGTATTTTAGGCATACCCTATGTCTGGATCCCAGTTCCCCAGCTCTACCGAATATCTAGCTGCATGAACTTTACCTCAGCTTATTTTTCCCCATTTGTAATATGGGGTTAGTATGTATTTCACAGTGTTTTCATGATTAAATGAGAATGTTATATTTAAAATAATAGTGCGGAGGAGATGTTCAATAGGAGTTTCTGAAATTGAAAGAGAAACTTGAGGATTTCTAAATCTATAAGTTAGACCAATGAGACCTGTCAGGTTCTATATCACCTTTATGTTTGAGAATTTTTGTTCCTGCTTTCAAGACTGTGACTTTAAGGAATGGTTATGTTGGAAAGCATTGAAATAGGGGTAGAAATTAGCTTCTATCCCAGACCAGCCAGTACTTTGAGGTATGTTTATGAAATCCCCTTCTTATTTTCTTTTAAAAAATAGGTCATAATGGTACAAAATGTAAAAGGGCTTTGTAGTGGACAGTTTTAACAGCCTTGATTCCCAATTACCTGGATCTCCCAGGAGGCAACCACCAAAACGCAATAATCTATCCATTAAGAGAGACTTAAGCATAATCATACATGTATGTCTATATACATTTTATACAAAGAAGCTTACTGTATATATTCTGCTTATCATTTTAGAGATTGTTAGTACAACAGAGCTGCCACATTCATTTAACTACCTTCATAGTATCTGCATATGTTGAACGTAATTTAACCAGTTCCCTAAAGATTGTATTTTTTTTTTTGCTTTAAGAACCATATTGCTGTGGATATCCTTGTATATGATTTCAAATAATCCTACAGAAAAAAAAAAACACGTAGAAGTTACACATCTTAAAATTTGCTAATTATAATAACAAACCTGTACTTGGTATATGCTAGAAACTGTTCTTGTGTTTTAACTTACTGAAGCCTGCCAAAATTTCTCAGAAGTT